CAGAAATATGTATATTTGAAGAACTAAACAGCAAAATCTTTTTCCAGAAATCATGACCTGGTTGTTGGGAGTAATTTCATTTGAAATATTTGTTTCTTTCTTCCGAATTACACTTTTTGATTGTTTGGTAAATTGTGCCTCAACGTTAACAATAACTTGTACGTTTAGAAACGGGCGTGTAATGCATAGCTTGGTTCAGGGTGTATATTCAGATAAAATAAAACATCTTGAATCGTCAAATTAAAACCTGTCTGTTTCAGCTGCACCTTGGCTAATTTATTTTGGCTAAACATGAGCTTATTGTGAGCCACTTTGGATGAAAGCATCACCTAAATGAAATCTCCTTATCTGTGCATTGGTAGATTTGAGGCCAAAACCAGGAGAGAAAGATATGAAATTATTATATTTCTTTTTTCTTTCATCGTTTATCGCCATTCCTCACATTTCTGTTCAATTGCTAAATCTTATTATACCTGCACCGCTCTGCCACGTCTGATAAATGCACATTTGATGCAACATTTATTTTTTTAAACCGTGCTGAATTTGTTCCTTTACAACAACATAATTCCTCTTATTGTGTTCATGTATCCACACACACACACACACACACACACACACTCTCTAGATGTGTGTCCCCCTTATGTGCCCATCCCCCCATGTGCATCACACCTGACAGACACACACACACACACACACACACACACACACACACACACACACACACACACACACACACACACACACACACACACACACACACACACACACACACACACACACACACACACACACACACACACACACACACACACACACACACACACACACACAACACACACACACACACACACACACACACACACACACAACACACACACACACACACACACACACACACACACACACACACACACACACACACACACACACACACACACACACACACACACACACACACACACCAAAGTCAGCATTGTCTTCACTGGGAGAAGTCAATGCTGACACATTCTTGGCCAGGTCGCTCTTGAAAAACAGATTTTAATCTCAAATGAGACTTTTTACCTGGCTAAATAAAGGATATATAGGTGTCATTAGCACCTATATTAGGCTCCTGGAGGTCTGGATGGTGCCCGTTAGATGGTGGTGGGTCGAGGTGTCAGGAGTCACACATCCCTTTAGTCCCAACAGGCCTGGGGATGTGACTGACACTAGTGTATGTGCTAGTAGACAAGTGGGGGATGGTGTGAGTGTGTGAGAGACAAACGCACACACACATCACAGACGATGTGGGACTTTGAGTGGCAGGGTGGACAATAAATAAAGCACTGAGCAACTTTTCTCACCGGGTCAGAGGTGATCTGTCGTCCGCTCACCCGTAGAGAAAAAACGGCTTGTTCTCCACTCTGACTCCTTTCAATTTATAAAAAAATAAAGAACGGATATACACGCTGCCAAAACATCAGTCAGACAACAACAGAACAGTGGAAGTTGTCCATCAGATGTCTTTTTATATAACTCTGTGAAAAGAGGAAAACTCACAGAAGAACACAGCCTCCAGTGTTTCTGTAAATATTGTATATTACACTGCTGGTTTTATTCAGAGTGTCAATGGAGTTGGATCTGAGCCAGGAGTTGCTCACAAAGCAGAATATAAATAGTTTGAAGCATCAAAAAGCAACAGAAGAGTTTATTTATGTAAGCTGAATAAGTTCCTACACATTAATGCTTTACATCTTTTAACTCTGGATGATAATGTATCAAAGAGGAAGAGAGTAAGAGATTTATTGAAACAGAAAAACGAAATAATGTACTAGGGGAAATACAAAAAAGCTGCATCGCACAGGACATTTTGTCTCTGCCTGACAGAAAAGGAGAGAATTAGTTTGCATTTGTTTGTCATTATGGTCATGTCAATAAAGCTATTTGTATTTGCCTGTGATGCTGGAAAAATATCTGGGGCTCGGGATGGAGAAAGAGCAGAAAAGAATAGGTCTCAGAGAGAGAGAGAGAGAGAGAAGAGAGAGAGAGAGAGAGAGAGAGAGAGAGAGAGAGAGAGAGAGCGAGAGAGAGAGAGAGAGAGAGAGAGAGAGAGAGAGAGAGAGAGCGAGGAGAGAGAGAGAGAGAGAGAGGCGAGAGAGAGAGGAGAGCGCGATAGCGAGCGAGAGGAGAGAGCGCGAGTAGCGAGAGAGGATCGGAGATAGATATCGCATCGAGAGCGCAGCAGACCTCTCTTATCTATCTATACTATCTCCTCTCTTCTCTCTCTCTCTCTCTCTCTCTCTCTCTCTCTCTCTCTCTCTCTCTCTCTCTCTCTCTCTCTCCTCTCTCTCTCTCTCTCTCTCTAGTATGCAGACTAATTAACTGTGCAGGGAAGCATACATGTTGTTGTCATGATGCAAGCAACACGAAACACCAGCAACACAAACATGAGCTCCTAACTGAGTCTGTGGCATCTGAACAAGCTTTTATAATTTACTGAGTAGCCCAACGCAGTAAAAACACACAATTTGTTTTTATGGCCACTTTTTTTGTGCGGTTTAATTGATTTCTAACCTAGAGTGATATTTGCTCATGTGCTTCCTTAAGCACACATTCAGCACACACAGTTTACACAGAATGGCTTTTAGGCAAATGATGGTGCACATCTGCATGCACGCTCGAGACACCTGAGAGCATTATCACTCCACAAACACACCAATTGTTTGTTAACACACACACACACACACACACACACACACACACCTCGGCCTGAGGCAAAGACAAAAGGCAGCACACACACTCCTGCTCCTTCATTCCCCTCAGGGCTACAGTGTGTTTCTATAGAGGCAGGCTGCTGCTGTTTGTTCTCTGAATAAGTCTTCAGAGGAAGTGTGGCCACAGCAAAGGCTGCTGGGAAATCAAAGCAGGGAGACATCAAAGGCCGTGTTTCCCCCACAACTCCTGATCTTTGTGGATGGTATAGAGAGGCGAAGTCCCTCCCTTTCCGGTGGACCTCCATGGGACCTTATTTCGGAAAAAGTATGTATTGAAGTCAATGGGGAGAGAAAGATTATCTTTCGATCCCGTTTGAATTGTGCCACGAATTACACATATGATGTTTGTCAATTTAAAAGATAATTTTGCAAGTCAAAAAAATTAAAATGTGTCGTAAAAATGTGAAGTAACACTTTTTTTTGGTGTGAAACCGCTCAATGAACTACATCTCCCGTCTCGCACCACACACCAAGACGGCCGTCACGTTGGCACATTTCACTTCTTTCTTTCAGAATGAGGCGGAAAGTATTAAAAGAGGTGAAAATCACTCCAAGTCTGGGCATGTTGAGAGCTGTACATACACACAAGGGGAGTTAGTCGGTTCCTAAGAGCCAGCATGCGGGACCGGGATTCTGGGATTTGTAGTCTTTCTAGTTACGTATTTTTCATAGTCTTATATTTCAACAGTTTTATGACAAACTGTGACTTTTTTGACATGGAAATTATTATTTAAGATTGACAAACATCATATGTGTAATTCGTGGCACAATTCAAACGGGATCGAAAGATAATCTTTCTCTCCCCTTTGACTTCAATACATAATTCTTCCGAAATAAGGTCCCATGGGTCGAAAGTAGATGGGCGGGACTTCGCCTCTCTATGGATTCAGAGCTGAGGGTTGCACATGTTTACATTTGAAAGACCAGGTTCTTTATTTATCCTCTTCTTTACAAATCTCATGAAAATAAATGGTTTGTCGTGCATAGATTTGTACATTCTGGTGAGATTGAAGCAGAAAAATCTACAGGCCCATGTTAATTATTATTAAAGAAAATTCCAGTGTGGCTCATTGATATGTTTCACATTGTTTAGAGCTCTATGAGTAGAAAAAGACCAGGTTCTTTATTTCTCCTCCTAAAAAATCTACAGGGACAACATTGATTTTTATTAAGGGAAAAGGCTGTGGCTCATTGACATGTTTCTAAACATGTCTGGAGCTCTATGAGTGGTTATGCTCGTCATGGTGCCCTGAGGATGAACCCTGATGATTCCTGGTGATCTTCTGGCACTGCCATTAGTTAGATATTTGGTTTACGTTCCTCAAATGTTTTGATGGGGTGCCAATACATTTGGTTCACACATTTATGTCCCGTACAGCAATCACTAAAAGTTAGAATCAAATCAGGTCAAATATCCACACTTTGTTTAGTTTTTACCAAATACCTTCAAAACCCCATCAGCCTTAGCAGTCTTTGAGTTTAGTGCTAGTTTACCCATTGGTTTTTGACTACCCGTTATTTATTTTTAAAAGCCATTCATTTGGGAATATTGCTCATGTCAACTTACTTTGTGGAGCCACATTTGGATAACAGAGTGTAGCTGGAGAATAAACAGCTTGGTTTGGCTTAGTAAGGCGCATCTGATGCTGATTTTGTCGATCAAAAAACATGCTTAAAACAAAATGTGCCAACCAGAAAAAAAAAAAGACTGCAGATGGAAATGATCTGGCATATCTCTTCTCTTTTTAAGATGGTGTACTTTTTCCTCGTTCAATAAAGACATACAAGTAAAGTAAGTAAAGTCAATTAAGAAACAGTTATACTCAACAAAACAGTTTTCAAAAAACACCCTAACCCAATAGGACATTTTATAATTAGCTGAGAACATTACAAAAAGTTTGATCAATAATATAATTGTAAATCATTTGTGTCTGGTCTCTGGAAACCATTGAAGCCATGGCTCCTGCCCAGTTGGATTTCCCCTCCTCTCACGTCATCGGTCGGTCCAGTTTTATCACAAACACAGAACTGCCGATATATTGATTTAACTATGCAGGCAGCCTCTGTTCTGTTATTGATTGCTGACGATCGCGGCTCAGTGGGATATTGAGTTTCCAGATTAAAGTGCAAGGTCACTAGTTGGTTATGACGAGGTTTGCTTGTTAGCTAATGTAGTTAAGACGTTGGAGCAGGGGAGGGGATTTATGTTGTGAAATACCAAATATCCGCCTCCTTCTTTCCTCTCACCTGCTGTTGAACTTCTCAGGGTGCTTTTCCCGCATCAGATGAAAGCGATGGGCGATGGAGGCATCCTGCAAGAGATAACAGAAGAGATCAGAATAAGAATCATAATACTTTATTTAGGGGAAGATTGGGTATGATAAAACTAGATAAATATTATAATATAAATAAAAATAATAATAAAATGTTTTTTAAATGTAATTTAAAGTGCACCTATCATGCTATTTTAAGGCATATATTATGGGTCTCAGATATATACAAATATATAAAAACATGTCTATGATGTGTTTTGCTCAAAATACAAACGGATCATGCATTTTAGAAATCCCTCATATCCCTCTATTCCAGCCCTGTTTAGAGAAACGCGGATTTTGGGTCCTTAGCTTTAAAAAAAAAAAAGAGGAGGCGGAGCTAATGCCTGATCAGAATTCTACCGGAGATAAAGTTAAATTCTGCTGTGATAAAACGCCATCCTGTTCTAAACCACATCAAGGATTATTTCTGAAACAGTATGGAGCTCAAATGCTTTTTCTCTTGCGGGTTTATCACAAGGCGAGTTCCTTTTTTTATTTCCTGCTTTTTAAACACGTGCTCTCCAGTACAGGTTAGCTCTGAGTGTTAGCGATGCTTGCTAATGTAAACAAAGACGAGATTACGTCCAAAACACGTCAGGCATTGTTTCTGATAGCAACTTTCTGTGGGTCCACCATTCGAAATTACGTCATATCGGCAGGAACACTGGATCAGCTCCGTTGCAGCCCCGTTTTTAAAAGATTTGGGTACGGAGGAAAAGAGAGGGTTTTATTTTCTGATGCTGCGTGAGTTCCCCGACACACGAGGACACATATTTATGTATAAGGTCGCATTCACACCTAATAGTCCGCTTCTCTGGTGCGCACCAGACGACAGTTTGTTACATTGTTTCATTTTTCAGAAGGTTCGGTTTGCGTTCACACGGGCAAAACTCAAACGGACTATAAACTTTAAACACAAGTCACGTGCACGGAAATGCTGTTCAACAATTGGTCAGACATTAAGGGGGTAAAAAACGCAAATCCTGGCAATTTCTACTGGAGCCTCCGCCATGGAGCATGCTGCTGTTAATCTGGAGAGCATATCAACAGAATCTAGTGGACAGCACATATGTTTATACAATCAGACGACATGCGTTAAAAAACATTATAACACATGTAATGAGACGTTCTGCAGTAAGGAGGGACGTTTCACCGACGACAGGTGGCTCTTACTTTTATGTATAGTTGAAGGAGCATTTTGACTTTACACGACACTGTTCAACACTTCATTCTGCTTCACTCTTTCACTAAAGAAATTAAGACATCCGCGTTCTTGTGACTCGTAAATACTACGCTTCCTATGTTTTGGTGCGGACTGCGTTCACACCAGCGATGAACCGCTCCAGAGTTCACTAGCAAGCGCTCCGAGACCACCTCTTTTAAGCGGTCTTGGACTGTGTTCACACCGACCCAAACGAACCGCACCAAGCGGCTAAACGCACCAGGGTTCGATTCAACCGGACTAAACAAGGCTGGTGTGAATGCGACTTAAAAGACATAAAAAAGTGCATTTTGCATTATAGGTCCCCTTTAAATCAAATAAAAATATATACTTTTCAGTAGAAATACAAATTATCACAGAGATGAAAATAAAAAATAAATAAAATAAATGTCTTTCCTTTGAATAGAAAATCAAATAAAGTGGCTAAAATAATTAAGGTATATGTTTCAGTTGAAAGCACAAATTAATGGTAAGCTGGATATATTTTTCTGCTGTAAAGTGTATTACTTATTTACATTTCAACCACCAGTATTATTCCATAAAAAAGCAAGACATTCAGCGACTTTGGTCTCTTTCAACATTTTATAGACAAACTGATAAATCAAATATTCACTAAACATCTGCAGATGAATCAGTAATGAAAATAACCCACCCAAAACGGACAAAATAAGCTCACATTTCCACTACAATAGAATTCTCAAGGTCTGCAGATATTCAGTCAATTAAGCGTAAAATACTCAGAGAAATGGAGCTGGGACTTGTTACACAGAGCAGCGTTGAACTAGAGGTCAGGAGTTAATGGGAGCAGGGTTCAGCCCCCCCCCTCCATGTGTTTAACCTCTGACCCCTGAGTGTGACCCTGATCAGTCACGAGGGCAGCCTCAGTGTGACCTCGCTCACAGACACACACAAACACCAGCGGCGATCACGCTGTCACCACATTATTGATGTTGTACTTTTTTAAAACACGCATTCATTTTCCTTATTTCCATTCATCACAGGAAGGCTTCACTCTCACAGGAGCCTCAAAAAAGTTCAACAGAGCTTTGTTCCCTAACATGGTCAACTTGCTTTCATAATAATACACTATATTAATCAGATAACTCCAATCAAAACTACGCAACCAAACTGCATTGCCAATTAAGATTTTCTAGTGAAATAATTACGTTCGTTGTTGACATATTACAAATCCATTTCTAATCAAAGTCTGTGAAAGTCATACAAACACAAATGGGACATTGTAGACGCTGTTGGTGTCATGTTTGTGCCAATGGTCACCAATTTACTATATAATTTATATATACATAAACTACTATACAATATATGTAAAAAACAGTATTTTATTACACTGTACAATGTTCAATTTTACATTTAGTTATCTACTTACACGTTGTGTTACTTGCACAATTGTTTTGCACTATTTTTGCTTGAATGTTTTTTTTAAATTTTATTATTTTAATATTTATATGTATATATATATATTGTATTTATTATTTATATATTTTTTATTACTTTATTTCTATTTCTTCTTGACTATTTTGTATTGTATTTGATGCATACAGTACAATAAGTATGTTGCATTGTTGGAGAAGCCTGGGACTTCCGATTTTCTTTGCAAAACTACACAGTAGCTATTTTGCACATATATAACAATAAAGCTTTTGAATCTTGAACATCCACTGTAGTCTGACACACAGGACATGCAGCAGGGATCTGGACACTTTCAGTGACTGATGAATTGAACAGAGCAGCTTTAATTTGACTGTAAGTTGAGTTTGAGCAGAGCTTCTCCCCTGCAGCCTGAGATTCGTCTGTCACAGATAAACAGCCGCTGTACATGTAGAATAAACTCAAGATGCACGGACTCAGAGATTACATCGACTATATGTCAGAGGAAGCAATATAGCTAACATGGATGTATATGTGATAGAGATGGTGGATGTAAAGTTTCACTCTGATGGTGGAGTCAGTAATCATGTTAACATATTAAAGTCTTTTATTTTACAATAACATCTTCTGAGTCTGCCTGAAGTGCCTAACAGAGACAAGACGCATGACATAAGCCCACTTACGATATGAAATTAGGGCATATACTTTAGAGAATGTGTCTGGTAAAGTTTACTTTTGGTAAACTGGGTTTACAGTTCAATATATTCATATAGGGGATACAATACAACGATCTTTAGACACCACCGAACAAAAATAGGCATTGTCAAGAAACGATCATGAGCTGCGGAAGTCTTCGCAATATAATGCTTTTTCCAAATGTGAGTAAATTAAACTAATTCTGATGTAGTGGTTATGACCATAGTTATGATTAACCACCAATATTATGATATTTGGGACCAGTCCCTTACAAAGTCATCAAGAGTTCCTGTTAACACGTATGATATCTCCAATGAAGAAACTGACAACCAGGCTAAAATATCTTGATTAGGGTTTATAAAACAGTTGTGCATTCACAGTAAAGTATTGCATCAAGCCTCTCCTGACAGGCAGAAGCATGTGTGATGGCCGTCTGGCGCCCTGCCTGTCTGTGCAGCTGTGAGGTGTTTCAGCGCTGCAACAAGGAGAACGAAAGGTTGTGACATGACAGCTGGACAGGTGCAATTATACGCATCCTCACTTGTCACCCTCAGAAACATCCTCTGGTGCGACAGGGCTTCTCTTCACCAGACACTGCGGCGATGTGCTGACATCCCACAGCATCAGCAGGAAGGAGGTCTTTAAATAGAGCTGCTGCTGCTGTAGCTGCACAGAATCTGATACTGGAACCAGGGCAGCGAGGAGACGTCACAGGTGAACTGCTCTGCAAGACACATAGGACCACCTATATGTGGTGCAGGAATGAGTCCTAGAAGCTGGAAATGAGGCAGCAATTAAGCACTTCTCTTGTCTCGGAGTAAACACTTTTTTGTACGCGTTTGTGGTTAGATGCCTGAAATAAGGATGGATGTCTCCATTGGACTCCTTTGTTTACACACATAATGACATCACTTTGTAACACGTGCGCTTCTATTGGGGTGATAGGCTATGAGGTGTGACATCTCTAAGCGGTTGACCAATCACAACAGAGCCGGCCAGCTAACCAATCAGAGCAGACTGGGCTCTGGTTTCAGACAGAGGGTGAAAAGAGGTGCTGCAGCACAGGCTGTATGAGAACAATAAAGAGCTTTTTGAACATTAAAGCATGGAGACATGTCCCAGTAGAGACACTACATACTGATATACACCTGAACATCAGCAGGAGAGGACTCTTTAAAGTAGAGACACTACATACTGATATACACCTGAACATCAGCAGGAGAGGACTCTTTAAAGTAGAGACACTACATACTGATATACACCTGAACATCAGCAGGAGAGGACTCTTTAAAGTAGAGACACTACATACTGATATACACCTGAACATCAGCAGGAGAGGACTCTTTAAAGTAGAGACACTACATACTGATATACACCTGAACATCAGCAGGAGAGGACTCTTTAAAGTAGAGACACTACATACTGATATACACCTGAACATCAGCAGGAGAGGACTCTTTAAAGTAGAGACACTACATACTGATATACACCTGAACATCAGCAGGAGAGGACTCTTTAAAGTAGAGGCACTACATACTGATATACACCTGAACATCAGCAGGAGAGGACTCTTTAAAGTAGAGACACTACATACTGATATACACCTGAACATCAGCAGGAGAGAACTCTTTAAAGTAGAGACACTGTACATACTGATATTCACCTGATCATCAGCAGGAGAGGACTCTTT